AAAATGTTATATAATCCAAAGCGTCACGCTAATCCCTGCCTGTTCAAATCCAAACAGGTCAGAATCTTGTAATCTTTATTCCAGAGTCCCCAACAATCAAACGGGCCATGGAGGGATGAACCTGGGACAAAAGAAGGTACAATCAGGCATGTTAAAATGTTAAAAAAAGAAAGCTTTCATTTTTTTTTTTTTTCAAATTTAAAATAAAACACCAAAAACCAAATGTCATTTTAAATGCTTCAGGAGTATTTTGGCATCATAACATTATAATATACAGTATGAAAATGGATATTCATTTTGAGATTTGCTAAAGACTACATGTCAGTGTTATTAAATTATTAGTGTTTTTAAAGATTGACTTTGTTAATCAATTAAATATCATTATTGACTAAGCTCACCTGTGCCTGCAGTGGCCCATAGGGCACTAGCTCTCCATCTACAGTGAGGGTTCCTCGTGGTGAAAGCGGCTGAAGGCGGAACGCCCGAGCAGAAATATGACTAACGTAGGGAGAGCTAACGGACAAATGGGCTCCTCGCTCCATTGCTAGGAACAGTCTAAGCAGTGTTGCCCGTGAGATACCAGCCCGCACAAATGTCAAATGGATCAACCCATCATCAAATCGAGCCTGAGGCGCAGCGAAAAGATCTGCTCCCAGGTGGGTCTGATAGATGGCAAGCACCAGGACAAAATCGCCCTCAATAGTGACCCAGTCATGTGTAGGGAGAGGTTGGTCCAGAGGAGGTAGCAGATCATCCTCTGGCAGCTTGATGGAGGATGTCGTGTGAGGGTGGTTCTTCAGGGGTCCTGCAGGCTCTGCAAGGTCAAAGCTGAAGGAAGGGGTCAGCGAATGAAAAGTAGGTGATGGGGAAGACGAGCTGGGAGTGTTGGGACGTGGCACAAGATAAGAAGAGTGGGGAGAGGCACAAGATGGAGATGAAGGAGGGGTTGGGGAAAGGGACAAAGAAAGGGATGGACATTTTGGAGGGAGAGAGTTTGAATGCGATTGGTGGAGAAGAGAGAGGGGCCGTGGCCGTGAGGAGTTCTGGTTCTGGTCCAAAGTTTTAGGTTTAAAAGCTTTGAAAGGAGACTGACGGAACGGAGAAGATGAGATGGTGAGGGCTCGCTCACGAGACTTGTCCAATGAAAACGCCTCTCTCCGAAAGTAGGTGCCATTTACGTCTTCATCCTCCTTGCCATAGGCTGTGTCAGTGTCTGCCCCAATTGGCTGGCTGAAGAAGGTGTTAATTATCTGGCTAGAAGGGGCCGAGTTTTTACGTAGTGTGTGTTGCATCTCAGGTGGAGTCGTTTGATAACTCTCATTGCACTCATTTACCTCATCTCTCGCTTTCGTTACTCCTTCTCCGTCGATCTCATCCCCACCCGGTTTATTCTCTTCTTCCCTGTTCCCATTATTACTGGCTATGTTGTCACACTCTTCCCTTTCGTTTGATTCTGAGCTGGTCCCTGACGTCTCCTCCATCTTCTCTTCTGCTTCCACCTCTCTCTCTCTGTCTTCTGCGAGACTGCTAGCTCTCACTACCCCAACCCCTCTTGCCCTCTCTCTCCTCCTCTCCCTCTCCCGCTCTCTCTCCTGCTTCTCCCGCTCTCTTTCCCTCTCTCTCTCCCCATCTCCCTTACGGAGACTTCTTTGTTCACTCAGGCCCATGTCTGAGCAGGTGCGGTGAATGGGAGTGCGACAAACACCCTCCAAGCCTTCGGTAATGCTACGTGAAAGTGGCCTTCGGGGTTGCTGAGGTGTGGCATCGGGGGACGGGTTGACCATAGCGGGTGGAAGGTAGGAAAGACGGCCCTTATAGGAGCGCAGAGAAGCCAATCTCACTAGTGTTCCCAGTGTAAACCGTGCTGAGCCCAGCCCTCTGTAACGCTCACTCTCTATGTCCACATCAGACACAAAACCCCAGGCCACAGAAAGGAAAGAGAAAAGCCTCCTAGGAGCAGGTGGGTGCCCATTCTGATTGGATGTGGTAGATGAAGTGCATGGGCTGGTTGTAACGGACACCAAGTCCATTGGTTTAACCCCACCCCGGCACAGCAGAAAACAGCAGTTGAGAAGGAGAGGCTCCCGAAGGCACATGTCATATCTGAGAGACAGACAGGAAAATAGAAATATTCATGATTGAACTCAATTCATTACCATTTAATAAAACAGCAAAAAAAAAAAAAAAAAACATTAATTTACTATCCATACTTAAAACATGACTCAAAACATTATTCAAATACTGCAATGAATCATCACCTCTGCATTACATGGATCTTGCCTATGAATGTAAAAGTAGGTACATTGCAACCAATATACCTACACTAGAGCAAACAGCCCTTGAGAAATGTATGAAACTTATCATAATAACAGAAAAGGCAAGTTTTTTGTACACTGACACAAAAATTTTCAAAATATAATTTTTTATCTCTATAGATGGAACAGAATGCTGTTGTTTTTCCATACACAAAGAATTTTTAAAGAATCTTCACAGAATTATTTCCCGTACAGTGAGAGCTGACAGGAAAAATAACAACATATATGTTTGAAATGCGGGTGAGTAAATCATGACAATTTAAATTTTGGGGTGAACTGTTCCTTTAAAAATAAGGGAGATTCTCTGAAGAACTGGAGATTTTCACACAATGTGTCCCAGGTGAGCTCAAGCACACTTCATCATACCCTGCAAAGTGGTTGATGGAACCAGCAAGTGCATTTCCAGAGCCACAAGGAAGGATTCCCAGAGGAGTTTTTATTGCTTGTTCCCAGTCTGGCCTTTCCATGAGGCCATTTATCACCTGCAAAAAGAGGACACACAGATTAATATGTAAATAATATGTAAATCATCTTATTTTTACATAGAATATACTTGAAATGGTCTAAAAATTTTGTAGAAAATATTCTGATTTTTAACATGACCTTGTGGTATGGTCATCCGAGTGTTGTAAATAGAGTAAAGCTGTCCAAGATTGAGAATGAAGCAAGTAAGATAATAGGTAAGACGCAGAGACATTTGAATGAACTCTATCGATGTAAAGTCAAGCAAATGGCTTAAAGGTAGTTGAGAATCTCACCCCCTTCATGGCAAGCTTCATCCATTGCCATCAGGGAGATGCTGTAGGCAACCACGAGCGATGTGATAAGTTTACCAGTAACACTTTATTTTAAGGACCAATTCTCACTACTTGCTTAAGTTACTATTATAACTAGAATATTGGCTGTTTATTAGTATTATAATGCCTTATTCTGAATGACCATATTTTAGATCCCTTCATCCTACTCCATACCTAAACTTAAAGGTGCCATAGAATGCACTGATACAATATTTTAAATTGTTCTCTGATATCTACATAGAAGGTATGTGGCTTAGTTAAGGGCAAAAAATCTCCAGAAACGGTTTTACATGTCCATTTACAACCCTAGGATTTGTCCCTAGAATGAAATGGTCTGTTTTTACCTTATTTGGAAGGGTCATGAATAATAATATAGAGCTCTGCTCTGATTGGCTGTTTCACAGTGCGGCTCATTTCAGTAGTTCACACAGCAGGAAGGAAACACAGGGAAAATATATATTTCAATACTCTCTCTCGCAGTTATATCGTTGGGTAATTACTGTATATAAAATGCGGGCATCAGGGAGCCACTATTAATATATTCGAATGCATGATTGGTTTTTACTTTCACTTTCGAGATTTGCGATCACATGTGCTGTGTAAACTACAGTGGCAGTACTTAACACACATTTTACAAGATCAGATGCTTGTCAGTGGTGCTCAGGATCTGTAAATCATTCGCCATCATCCTTGGTCATCTCTCCTTACTCCGTTTAGTTGGTAAGTGAAATCTTATGTACTGTAATGTTAAAGCTAGTAAGCAGCTAACCATGTCCCTTTAGTGGCTCGCATTATTTTATTAGAACGCGCGTTAGTTTTCCGTGCCTTTCTGAATACAGACACCAACCCATTCCTGCACATCACATCCCCTGCACAGCCTGGAACATAACATTTATTTCCATGATCTGCCATTTTCGCTATTATCCTCGCTTGTTTCTTCACAATACCTGCAGAACTTCTGATGATTCGGCTGTGCAGGTTCGGCTGGCGGCAAGCATAGAACATGGGTGGGTATATGCAAATGTTGGGGGCGTAACTATTAGTGATCCCGACTGTAACGTCACAGTCGGTGTTATGTTCTGATTCGCCTATGCACGAGATTTACATAAGGAGGAGGAAACAATGGTGTTTGAGGCTCACGGTATGTCATTTCCATGTACAGAACTGTTATTATTCAACTATGCCAAGGTAAATACAGTTTTCCATTCTATGGCACCTTTAACAACTACCTTACTAACTATTAATAAGCACCTAGATAGGAGTTTATTGAGGGAAAACTCTTAGTTAATAGTGAATATGTGTTCCCTAAACTAAAGTGTAACCTGTTTATAAATTATCTTTCGTGCCCAATGCTGTCAAAATCTTAAAAGCAAGTGACTGATTTTTTCCCCCATAAATTATTGTGTACCGCATGCTTTCTTATGCGTATTCATATGTTGTCTGTGACAGAGACAATTTTCTATAGATAATAAAGAAAACTAAAGTAAAGGAAAGGAAAGTAAACCCTGTGGTAGATCAGTCAGGTACTAAATAAATCAAACTTGTGTCATTCAGAATGTTCTAAACATCCTCTGCTCCTAGTTATTAAATATTTTCGCTAATTTGGTCATGTCTTCAGCTACCGATAAGAGCCGTTTAACACGTTTTACCATGTTTAAATCAATTATACAGAATTCCAGATGTTCCAAGAAATTTACCAAACAAATTTCCTGCAAAAAGTAGATACTATATGGGCTTTGTAATAAGTTAAATATATATGACAAAGCAATCAAGATTGTTTTGATATTTACCTCGTGCAAGAGTCCATCTCCAGAAACAATGACGATTCCATCCCATTCTGTTAACGAGATCTCTCTGATTATCTCACGTGCATGATTCTGACGCTCTGTTCAACAACAAAACCACATACATCACATCCATTCAATGCAATCAATCAAATTCTGAGTACTGTTGGTCTGAGCACTTAAAAATATATTTTGAACCATTTGCAGCTGTACGTGTGTGATTGTGTGTGTTGTTCTTACCTGTCTGTATGAGGTTGTAGCTGATGTTGGCTTCTCTTATCATTGGAAGTATGTGCGTTTGACACCATTGCATTGCCTGACCCCGGCCACTGAATGGATTGACCAGCAGCAACAGTCGACGGGGACGGGGCAACATGCTTTTACAAAATTCTGCTCAATAAGAGAGCAAAAACAAGCAAGTGAGGATAAGGCCTTCATTTTAAGGCTGAAAACAACACTAAGCCACATCCTAAACCATCTGAAAGTAGACCATAAATGTTTTTAGTAGGTGTGAAAAATAAGTTCACCTCAAGATCACATATCTGACCTTCATTTCAAAAATGCTGATGAAAAAGGAATTTATCCAATAACAAATTCCATATTTTATTCAACAAAATAATACAATCGCTTAGAGTTTCTTACATTAATGGTTCAACTGGATGGCATTTGAGAGCATTTCGTTATCTTTTTAAGATTGGAATTTGGGAAAGGTCACATCTATCCAGAACACAGTGAATATACGGTCAAGATCTTAAACTAGATGTTATCTGGCATTTTGTTAATATCAAAACTTCTTCCTAAACCTCCCATGTGGGTCACATTTGTGCTGCCTTTTTCAGATGGTTGACTCGTGTATTTTGAAATTAACTGTTTTTTCTTGTTTAAACAGCTGATTGTAAGTTTGTTTCATTGTTGCTTTAATGTTAATCTATAAACATCCAAGTTTTACCTACCAGCATAATTGAAAGGACGATCAAATGTCATTTTAGCCAAAAGAATAAATAATTTAAAAATAAATGGGGTGTATTTACATTTTCACACCATTAGAACCACTATACTGACTCAAGATCTGCACTCCTAACACAAACTAACAAGCCAACAAACTTATCAACATCATATAACGATTTACTGAGCTGCAACCACTAGCACTGACAACTAACTACAGCACAGCAGTTAAAAACAGGGACAGAGCAGCATCTGTTAAAAGTCAATAAAGCCTGGTGTATTGCTACCGAATGATATGCACTACTCAATTCAGGCTGTATTTTCCCTGCTGCAGACCCACCCATTCTCTGACCGCCAATGACAGCATGTGGTACACATTATGAGTGCAAAAACAGAAAAAAGGAGCAGGAGAGAACCGTTAAACTTTTACAAAAATAAATGCAGACAGACATGATTCATACTCACATAAATTTAGCTCACTACAGAAGAAATCAAAGTGGCATCCTATTTACAACACACAAACTAATGACACAACATTAACGCAACAGCACTGACTCAGACGTCTTGAAGAATTAGCAGCATCTGGAGGCATTTTTTTTATTTAGTGAAGACTTTGAGGGGGTACATTAAACGTTTCCCACTAACAAAAGCATAGACATACCTGAGACAAAGTATTTATGAATGATCAAAACCTGACACCCACCTGTAGTGGAGCTGACATCCATCCCCCTCAGAAGGCTCTGTATGGCAGTATTCCATTTCTCCGCCTCAACTCTGCTCTCTGCCAAGTATGCCCTCACCTGTCTGCGTCTGGAGACGCCTTTCCGGCGACGACCAGGAGGGTACCAGTAAAGCACCAGCAAAGAAGGGGCCGGCAAACGCGGGCAGCTGCATCCTGTCAGTTCCGCCAGTGGCAGGATCAGCCTGGACTGCTTCCCCACACGTGGAGACAACCGCTGGACATGGATGTGAGTTGGTGTGAGGGTCAGGGCATAGTTGGTAGAGGCGGGGCTGAAAGGCAAAGAAACATCTCCAGGGCTGTTGGGGCAGCTGTTGCTGTTACTTCCACTTCCTCCTCCGCTGCTCCAACCGCCGAACTGTCCGTGCAGCAGGGCCTCCTCAGTCATAGATGGGATCTCTGGGCCTGGGGAGCGCATGTTCAACGTCTGGGCTCAAAAGGTAGTGCTACTGGGATGTGGAGAGTATGTTTGGACTATACAGCTTGAATGCCTCATGTAGGGCTCTTTCCTCTGATTTGTAGAGATGACTTTCTGGACGGATGCACTAGTTGTTCTGAAATAAACGTGTCAGCTTTAAGCCCAAATCATGGGTTTTTACGTAAACTTTAAGTTAAACTTAAAAATGACAAATAATGACAGTGTTTCAACAGGTGTCTTTTCAAAACACAAGAAAACTTCAGCAGGCGTTTCTATCCCTGATAGTGTTAAATCCTTTCCATCAGTGCATTTTGCCTGAAAACAATGCTAAATCCTCTTACGATCATCTGATCAAAACAAAATACAAGAAAGAGATTTCCAGTTTAGTATTGCTAGTATCCCAACAAAAATGTTTTGTTTTAAAAACCAAGATGCACAAGATAAGATGCCAGATTATTTTTCTTTTCTCTCTTTGCACTGGCAAAATGTCACAATATGAGAAAAAGCAAGGTTTTGTCAAGGTTAAACGGAATTGTGTGTGCATTTACATAAATAACCATTAAACAAAATTTCTTGTTAATAAATTTAACAATTTTCTATTCTTACAAATTGTTTAAATAAAATAGGAAGCAAAATTTCAATTAACAAAGCATTGTCTTAAGGTCAGCAAACTTGAAACTTACAAATGACTAAAAATAAACACACACTAAGGTTATAATAACCTTATAAATGCTACAAAAATGTTCAGTGACAAACAAGCACAGAAAGCAGACGTAATGGCCCAGCCGAGGATATTGTTTGAGAAGTATCAAATGAAACCTTATCAAGGTGGTTGACTAAAAATACAGTACCTCTCCAAAAACAACAAGGTTTAGGAAGTGATAGAGATGAACAGGGATGTCACTTCTGGTTTTGGTTCAAAATAGTGTCAGAGATTGTAGTAGTGCAGAGAAATCATGTGTTACATAGTTCACCCAATAAAAAAATGCCAGAAAATCCAGGATTTGATATCCATGAATGCCGAATTCTGTTCTTCAACCCTTGCAAGATGGTCCTCAAAATGGGAAATAAATAAAACAGAATACAGAGAGTATGAGTGCTGGAACAGGGTCTCAAGGCATGGTAAACCTCTTTATCCGACGTTAAAGGTGCCCTGCTACATAGAGAAGAAAAGGTTTGGAGAGAGACAGAAAGAGAAGGATTACATTTCGAAGTTAAATGCGATATTCTACATCCTACAAAGCAAAATAGGTCAAGTAATATGAACCCTAAGAACATGAACAATATATTATTCTGAATAGAAGTTGAGGACCTTTTGTTATGGAAGATGCACTACCTTTCAAAGGTTTTTTTTTCTTGAAAGAAGTCTCTGAATACAATTTAAAATAACTTTCTATATTAATACATTTTAAAATGTAATGTATTCCTGTAATGGCAAAAAAACTAACTTTTTAGCAGCCATTACTCCAGTCTTCAGTGTCTTTCATCCTTTCAGTCACTTTTGATAAATTTAATGTATCCTTGCTGAATAAAATTATTCATATGTAATAATTAAAAAAAAAAAAAAAACTGTACTGACCCCAAACTTTTAAACGGTAGTGTATCTTACGCATCAGAATTCATCTTTACTGCCTATCTAATGGAATGTGATGAATTGACCCTTGACCTGCACTAGGGCTGCACGATAAATCGCATGCGATATTTATCGTGCAGCCCTAACCTGCACCTAGGGGTGGACGATATGGCCAAAATTTATATCACGATGTATTTCTTAATTTCGGTCGATACGATATAATTCCGATATCGATATGAACACTATTAAAAAAGCCTCATAAAAACGGCCAAGAATGGCCACAACAGATGTCTGTACCTACAAACGTATGAAAAATGTATTTGCCAACTCTATGAAATCTACTCCTATAAAACTATATAATATTTTAGGAAAAAAATGGCGCAAATAAATAAATGTTCACCTTTTATTGGTATTTAGCCTTCATACAAACAAGAAATGTGATATCACTGTCAAATAAATCTCAGACTCTCCTTATTAATATTAATATTAATATTTTTTACTTCAAACTATAGGCTAACATACCAGTCAAAAGTTTTTGAACAGTAAGATTTTTTATGTTTTTTTAAAGAATTCTCTTCTGCTCACCAAGCCTGCATTTATTTGATCCAAAAT